GCCGAGACCCCATAACACCGGTCCTGAAAGACCTACATTGGCTCCCAGTACGTTTCTGAGCACAATTCAAAGTCCAGTATACATATAGTGTATTTTTAATCTTTTGTTGGAAGCCGCCCTGAGTGGCTGGGGAAACCCAGCCAGATGGGCGGGGTAGAAATACATTATTATTACAGTCTTATTATTTTATATTATTATTATTATTATTATTATTATTATTATTATTTCTACAAATACTGCAGTGGAGGACAAAAGAGGGACGTTCTAAACAGCAGCTGCTTTAAGGTATAGCAGCATGTAAAATCCTAGCCATAGCAGAAGACATTATCAAGAAAAGAAAAAGAAAATGGCCCAATATTGTATCACCAATTACAGTGGTACCTCGGGTTAAGTACTTAATTTGTTCCAGAGGTCTGTTCTTAACCTGAAACTGTTCTTAACCTGAAGCACCACTTTAGCTAATGGGGCCTCCTGCTGCCGCCGCACCTCCAGAGCCCGATTTCTGTTCTTATCCTGAAGCAAAGTTATTAACCTGAAGCACTATTTCTGGGTTAGCAGAGTGTGTAACCTGAAGCGTATGTAACCTGAAGCGTATGTAACCCGAGGTACCACTGTATCCCTGAAAACCAATTTCTCTCCTATTAAGCAAGGTAAAAAAATTAAGCTAGCATTGTTAAAGGCATGCTATCTGGTCGGAGAACTGCTTTGCAAAATTTGGAGAAGTGTGAATTTCAAAGGATGGTTGCATTTTGGTCCATGCATTGTTTCCGGAAGTGTGGGTAAGGAGGGTTCACTTGAGAATGCAAATTACTCCCTCATCCCTACTTCCAACCAGTAGCAGCAGGCAGGGCTGCATGGATGGGTCTGCCTGGCTCTCCTGCCCTCCAAGGACCACTGCCTGTTACCAAGAGGGGGAAGGGCAAGGGAGTTAAGAAACGGGAGGGGCGTGGGCTTTCCGTGAGCACAGCATCAGGAACATAGGATTGGCTTCAGTGCTGCAACCTCACATGCCTTCCCTTTCTCTTCTCAGTAACTGGTACACAGCACTGGGGTGAGAGGAGTGTGGCGCAGCCACGCCATGTAGTTCTGCTGTCTTTTACTGCTTCCAGCTACAGTCCTCAAGTGGCATTTGTAGATGCGATATAACATACAGTGGTACCTCAGGTTAAGTACTTAATTCGTTCCGGAGGTCTGTTCTTAACCTGAAACTGTTCTTAACCTGAAGCACCACTTTAGCTAATAGGGCCTCCTGCTGCCACTGCACCACCGGAGCACAATTTCTGTTCTCATCCTGAAGCAAAGTTCTTAACCTGAAGCACTATTTTTGGGTTAGCGGAGTCTGTAACCTGAAGTGTATGTAACCTGAGGTACCACTGTACAGGCAAGTCTGTCTGTGACCTCTTTATTTAAATCTTCATCTAAATGTAAGAAAAGCAATATGTATGCAATTGCTGACCAATGCCATTAAATGACTTCAGGAGCTTAAAATCAGTTATGTGCCAAGTTCTCCCAACTCCCCAAGTAAATGTATCTATCTTGTGTGATCCACTCTGATTGTTCTTAACCTGCATTGCAGCATTGGCTTCCACTTTCTGAAATGTTTTGGAATGGAGTCACATGAGGGAATGGCATGGAATCACCTCCACTCAAAAGACGTGTTGTGGCGAGAGAGCAGTGATAGAGAGATCAATCCTGAAGCCAAATACCTTGGCTGGTTAGTTAAAATTCATGCATGTGGCTTTCAGACAATCAACTCCCACTTCACACTTACTTAGCTTCCCATCGCACAGTTTGCCTTCTCATTGACCTATATATATGATCAGTCATTTCGGGCTACCTAGTCTCAGTCCTGTGACTTTTATAAGCTATGTTATCTATCAACACCCTTGATATTTCAGTCACCCTTCTGGCCTCTAGAGGGCAGGACTCCCACTCTTTTTAAGATTCTGGGTGTTGTCTCTGGAGCTGCCCAATATTCTTTATATTTATGTTTTTTCATCCATGAACCTTGGACTTCCTCCCACTCTGTCTCGTAGAATTACAAAAAATAAAGAAAGCTTTACAGAGTGGCCTTTTCATAGCTTCACGTGACAATTCATTTTCTGTATATAACTGACTAAATACAGTATATGAAAGTTACAGGTAGGTAGCCGTGTTGGTCTGCTGTAGTCGAAACAAAATTTAAAAATTCCTTCCAGTAGCAGCTTAGAGACCAACTAAGTTTGTTATTGGTATGAGCTTTCGTGTGCATGCACACTTCTTCAGTGCACACTTTTAAGGTGTTACTGGAAGGAATTTTTTTAAACATATGAAAGTTGGTGATTTGTGATGCAAATCCCACCTCACCTTGGTACTTGCATCCTCTTTGTCTGCCCAGCTCCTTTCTCTAGAGTAGAATCAACTACTTCATGGGCTGGAGAAGAGTACTCTTTTGCTTGTTTAACAGACTTGTATGCCCCTTTTGGCAAAACAGCACCAAGGCAATTATAGCAGTTTAGAACAATAAAAATCAAATCAATAAACTAAAAGGAGCATCAGAAAATGTGGAATGCCAGAGGAACAGACTCATGAAGAATGAGGCCATCAGTATTGACTGGCAGGGATGTGCACAAAGTTTGTGGATTTTTTGAAATTGCTTATGAAATATCACATAACTCACTGGTTTGAATTAGGTGAAGAGCATGTTGGGTGCGTGGATAACCTTTTTTTCCTTTGCCAATTTCACAATGAAGATACGGATATATAGATCGCACAGAGACACAGGAAGTGCCTGTATGTCTTCCCCTTTGCAGATTTGGGGACTGATTTCCATAGGAGCTCAAGGTTACCCCAGGGGCATAGTAAGGGAGGTGCGGGGAGGTGCAGGCCGCCCCGGGTGTCATGCCTGAGGGGGTGACAAAATGGCACACTGCGGGGGGCAGCACTTACCGCGGGACCTGGCCTGCAGCACACCCGAGCCGCGTGTCTCTCTTGGAAGTGATGCGGTGGCTCAGGGCCCCGCACTGCCCGAAACGGCAGCGTGGGGCTTGCGTCCACCAGGCGGACTCCATGAGCAGCTCGCCATGGCACCTCCCTTGGCAGATTGCCATGGCACCCCCCCTACATGTATCGCCACGGTGCCCCCGCGGGCAGTTCACCCCACTCCTGCAGCTCCAGGTACTGGAGCAGCTAGCTATGCCCCTGGGTTACCCATCTCCTTTGTACTGGTGCAAATCTTGGGTCCCCGCAGCTGATTTTTGGACAAGAGAAAAGATTGGGAATTCTAGTCCCAGGACTGTGTCATGTCTAGTATGCCCTTGAGCGTAATACGTTCAATAAAACTTCTCACATAGCCTAGTAGAAAGTGCCTGTTAGAAACTCCAGAGACTGGGGAAAGGTCAGTCATGCTGCTAGGGATGGAGGAGAAATTTGTTTTGCCCACAGATGTCCTGGTCGCAAACTTATTATGTACAGTAGACTGGGATGCAGCTATCAGTTGGCTTATGCACTTCACTATATTGTGTGATGCAGTTTTGGATCCCTCTAAAAATATGCAGAAAAGCATGTGTGTCATGTTTAAAGTGTGCACAAAACGCACATTTTATGTTGGGGCAATGTGCTGCAGAGAATACAAAAGTATATTTTTTATCAGATGCAATTTAAATGCTTTTTTTTAAAAGTCCACAAAAATTGAATAAAATGGACCCATGATTTGGTGTGTGTAAAACTGACATGGAATGAAAATAGGCTGATCCTTCCACCCCTGTTCACCACCAAGAATACATAGAATGTAAGAGAATGTGACCTTGTTTACCCTCCCATCCAAATCAACAACTGAGTACTCTAGAGCATCTAGTTTTCTTCCATCTACCCCTTGTTGTGTTTTTGAGGCTTTGGCATGCACCATTGAAACATTTCCAAGTGTAACTTTGAACCCAGGATAATTGGAAACATTTTTTCTTACATAAAAGTGTTGATTGCCAAAACAGAAATCAATTGTTTGCTGTACAGTGGTACCTCAGGTTAAGTACTTAATTCGTTCCAGAGGTCCGTACTTAACCTGAAACTATTCTTAACCTGAAGCACCACTTTAGTTAATGGGGCCTCCCGCTGCTGCCGCGCCGCCAGAGCACAATTTCTGTTCTCATCCTGAAGCAAAGTTCTTAACCTGAAGCACTATTTCTGGGTTAGCAGAGTCTGTAACCTGAAGTGTATGTAACCTGAGGTACCACTGTAATTGACTCTGACTCTCACCTATCATCCCATGTTACTTTTGTAACAAAAGGGAGGACAGGGGAGTCAGAAGTGCTATTCTGACAGAGTGCAGCTGAGCACACAGTTTAAGAAGAATTTGCTGAACTGTAGGCTATGAGTTGAGGGTGAATCTTGCTCATGCATTCCCATAAAATAGGACATACCATGTCTTCAAAAGGCTATAGTGTAGGAGTGGATAGAGCAGGACTGTAGTTCCTGAGCTATTTTAAGCCCCCCCCCCAACACAATTTTTAATAGATTCCACATCATTAATTCAAATGCAATGTGATTTTGACTTTAGAAATAGTTCTCTCCCATATTCTAGCATGCATTGACTGCATTTTTAAAAGACAACACTCCACTCCACTCCACTGTGTCAAATGCTGCACAAAATTTGAATGAAAGAGGCTTTAAGGAAACTTCTAGTCCCCAGTATGAATGGGCAGCAGCCTTGTCCATCATCTCCATCTACCGGTATATGCCCTCTCTTCCAGCTTCACACAAGGATAGAAGCAGTGGCCAGCACCAACAGAGTCTTGGGAAGAGAGAATCACCCATACTATGGGATAACCTGGAGACAACCCAAAAAGCAATGATCTGGTAGGGTTGCCAGCACTTTAGTCATTTTGAGGAAGGAATAGTAACTAGGTTTGGGTTTGAATCACTGGGGAAGAAATGGTAAAAGAGATCCTGCGAACTTTTGAAACACAGGATTTTGTTACATCCTGCTTTGCAGGCTAGCTGGTGTGACTAGCTGAACACCCATACTGTAATTAAAAATTTCTTTATTGATTATTTAAACAATTAAAAATACACACAGTAATCCATTTTACATTGGAAAATTATACCTGGGATTTTGTTCCCACAATAAAACTGTTGACTTAAAAAATAATAATCAAGAAGTATCAGCCAACACTCACTTGCAGGTAACAAATCCTCCACACATTTGATACATACATGGAAAGAAAAGCAGATGATTCACATCTAAGGCTTGCATCTGAGTCACATAGGCTTTATTCATGCCCTAGTAGCTGGTGTGTCCTTGTGGCAATTCCATAGCAGAGCAAGAATCAAATGAAGCAATCTGGTGGAGCATTACAGGCTTGAGTTGATAATACCTATTTACTGTTCCCATGTAGATGCTTTATTGTGAAGAAAGAGTAGTTTCTCACCAGGAAATTTCCAGGTGGGACATAGCAGTGGGCTACAGAGGACTTTCAAGGAGGTCTGTGTTTGCTGTCTATGGCAATCCAGCAAGAGCTGCTAAGAAGAAATAATAATTAATCTTAGGGGCATTGCTGGGTACTTAGAAGACTTGGGGCAAAAGTCTGTATGAAGTTTGCATGTGTTAGATGCAAATTCAGACTGGTTTTCACAGCCCCTTGCTTTGCTCTAAGGGTTTCCAGGCAGGATCTTCTGGGGTGAGGACCCTGTAGGTCCTCACAGATTATGATGGTGAGTGACTCTGCAGCACAACTAGGTGCCCTGTAAGCTAAATGGGTTTTTTGCAGGGGGGGGGCTCAAAAGGGAGAGGGGCAGAAGATCCAGGGCCTAGTGCAAGAGACTTGGTTTCAGGCCCCCTGAATGTCCCTGGTGATTATGGAATAACACTAACAATCAGGTTTGGTAAAGATTCTGATGTTGGACTCAACTTGATGTGCCAGTTTATCCCCCCCCCCCCCCAGAGGTGCACAGATGACCTCAAAACTTAACATAGGACTATAACAGCAACATGAAATCTGGTGTTGAAAATTTTTAACATAAAAAGAAATGAAACATAGGCTTCACTTAGCCGGCAGCCAATGCCTTGTAGTAAAGTGATTAAATCCATGCACAATAACTGATGTGCAGAACTGGTCTCTTGTATGGAGTCTATAATATGGGCAGGATAAGACCAAGAAGTGAGGATGATGGTGATAAAGATGCTACATGCAAGTGGTAAGAACTTGAATATTGTTTTCACTATGACATTCAGTTGTGTTTCTGCACTCCAACTCGACTTTGTTTTCATAAACATGCGGGCCTTCTTCACTCCTGAAATATTAAGGGACAGAAAACACATATTATTTATATACTTCACTGCATCATACCCAGCTTCCAAGGAGAATGGCAGAATACGCATGGTTCTTTTTCCTTATTTTTATCCTAATTTTGTGCAGTCAGGTTGAAAGATCCCAGCAGACCCAAGTTCACACAGTTAAATTTTCTAGCAGAGCAGGGATTTGAACCCTTGAAGTAACTGTTACATCTCAAGTCAGAGCCAAGTAAAAGTTGTTTTCATGATGTTTGAAGCATCTGTTTTATGAAATTGAAGCCTGATGCACAGATGCACTAAGGATGGCTATGCGCACTCATCCTTTTTTAGAAACAATGGTTCCAATGCAGGGCTGTCAAACAAGAGGCTCATAGGCCAAGCAATGCATTTTGGGATTCCACTTCCAGTGTGGCCTACGGCACCCCTATTGCACCCCAAGCTATTCAAGCTCTCTTCAGATATCCAGAGTCAACCAATGGAGTCAGGCTACAAAGAGAGAGAAAATGAGTCAGCAGTGGCTGATACTATGTGCTTTCCTTCCATGTTCTTGAAACTGGCAGGGCGTGTGTCAAGGAAACAAGAGAATGAGGAAAGGTGTGGTGATTTGTTATTGGGAAAGGCAACATGGATTACAGAGCTGTTTCAGATTTGCAGGGTGGAGGAGGCCACAGTTTTGAAAGACAAAGCAGTGACACGTGGGGATTTTCTTTTTTAACATAATGTTCTTTAATTAAAAGAACTCTCAGAGTGGTTTGCAGAGGTAAAATACATATTAAACAAACACAGAGATAATAGGGCAGAAGGGTACAGTGCTAGAGTTCCAAGAAAGCCTGAACAACAAAATAGCTTTTATTAAACAGTGGAAGCCTGTGTCTTCTGAATAATAGTGGGGAGGATGTTCAGAGGCAGACACCAGCATGGGGAGGGCCACTTCCACTTGCCACACGACACTCAGTAAGACACAGTGTAATTAGCAAGGTTTCCTCTGATGAGCTTAATGATTCCTGGGTCTGTGTAGGGGAAGGTGGTCCTTTAGTATCCCAGAAACCAGAGACCCTGGGAAACATCCTGTGTTTCCCAGTACTCCTTGTGTCATGCTATGGCACCACACTAGGTGCAAGGGAACGAAGGTGGCCTCACACAGAAACCTCCATTGAGAGCTTCATGGAGCTAAGGGAAAGGAGAGTTGTCAACACCAAGGAGGTGCTCAGAAGTGAGCCAGGAGGGTTATAATTAGGATCAGTGGAGAGATTTCAGCAGCACGATGGGAATGGGTGGCACCTCGGAGTGGAAAGGTGGGGAGCATTTTTAGAGGCCAGTTTTTCATGTCTATTCGCAAGACGTTACATCTTGTAACTGGGAGTGAATTATGCAAGCTTTCTGATGCCATGAACTGCCGTGAGCACGGTCTGCTATGGAAAGGCTGCATGCAAATGGAAGGTGATGAGCGTGTGCATAGACCCCTTTCACATGCTGTTAAAATGTCCAGGTGGAGAGAGAGGGTGTGGCTCCTGCATGCATTGGTGGTGGAAGAGTTCGCTCTGGTGACCCTGTGGCCTCTCCTCATGCAATCTGTAAATGTGGGGAAGGAGTAATCTGAATCCCGCTTTTAGTTAGTTATGCTTTTTTGATATATATAAATATGAAACTAACCTGAAGTCCGCTGCAGTTGTTGAATACCTCCCTTCTGACCCATTTGAAACGGGCATCTCTTCTTTGTTGCTGCTCATGGAGATTGCTTTGTTTTTCTCCTCAAGGGAATCACTGTGGAAATAATCAGAAGGTACACTAGGAGACCAGAAGGATAGGTCTTGTGTTCAATTCAATCACATAGATCCTACACTTGAATGCCTCTCCTTCTTTCTTTCTTTCTTTCTTTCTTTCTTTCTTTCTTTCTTTCTTTCTTTCTCTCTCTCTCTCTCTCTTTCTCTCTTTCTCTCTTTCTTTCTTTCTTTCTTTCTTTCCTCCCTTCTCTCTCTCTCTCTCTCTCTCTCTCTCTCTCTCTCTCTCTGATTTATAACCTGTGCCTTCAGGACCCAAAAGCACCCCCATTATAATAAAATAATTATAAACAACAATAAAAGTCTAGCAGCTATCACAATAAGGCACAGCAATGAAAACACACTATCATCAGTATAAGAACACATCAAGGTTAAAAAGGCTTGCAAAGTAGAAAAGATTTTTCCTTCTCTGGGGAGGGCATCTCACAGGCCAGGGGCCATCACTTGAAAGTATTTCTCCCACGTAACTGCCCACCTCAGCTTGGATGCCATGGGCTACTAAAGAAAAGTATCAGAGGAATATCTCAGTATACAGACAGACTGGTAAGGGGTACTTAAGGAAGGAAACATTTGACTATAATTTATTTATTAACTTTTCGTCTCATCCTTCCTCCCAAAAGAACCAATATAAATGTTGGTGTGATTTAAACATAGTGGGGACAGTAGAAGGAAGATTTCAACCCTACTCCACCAGCACTGCAGTCCCAACCCTTTTTTTTTTTTTTTTTTTTTGAGGGGAGAGGGGTAAATGCACTTGCTTTACATATTTTTAAAAGGGTGCAATCCAGTCAGGTATCTACTGACATTGCATCTCGTTTTGTCCCAAAGCAGCCCGATACATCAACACAGAAGCCATACAACCATCTTTGGCTGGAATAATGACAGTGGTGGTGGTACTTACTTGTTGTCCTGGCACCATAACCTATTGACAACAAAGGCAACCATTGCCAAAACCAAGAAGACAGTAACTGCAATGGTGCCCTGCACCCATGGCTGGAGGCTTCGCTGAACTGTCAAGAAAAGGGATGAAAACAAGTTTATTGTGGCTCCCAGTACTGGTAGTCTAGCTAGTTCTGTATTAGGCATGCAACACTATGCTCACCAACTTGGTGCGAAGGGTAGATAGTTGACTGAAGGAACATCTGTTCTGAATGCAGAAGATCTTTAGTACAATTACTGAAACAGTGCAAGATCTGAAACAGTGCAGAATCCCTGCCAGCCAGTGTAGAGTAGGGGGTTGGAAACCTCAGGACCAAGGTGGCCCTCTGAACTTCTTTCTCTGGCCTTCTCTCCCCAAGCCATCTCCCCCACCAGCCCTGTGTTCCACCCTCCTGTGTGAAATACTTGAGCACAACATCACCCGTGGCTTCCAGCAACTGGTCTTCAGAAGCACTACAGCCTCCAACCATGAAGGCAGAGAGCATAGACATTATGGCTAGGATGCATTGCTAGCCTTCTCCTCCATGAATTTGTCCAAGCCACTTTAAATCCTCACTCACAATGTGGGCCCTGCAAGGTTGGCCAGAAAGAAACGTGCCCCCTGGGTTGAAAAAGACTCCCCATTTCCAGTGTAGGCAATACTGAGCCAATACTGGCCTGGCTTGTTGTAATGCAACTTCTTATGTTCCCAACTGTAATTTATCTGGGCAGGGTCCGTTTCTGTTTAGTGACAAACTTACTGCTGCTGCCTAATCAAATTAAATAGAAGTAGCAGTATCTAAATAGCAGTACATGTGCATAAATCAAAAAGATTACAATCTATGCTTCCTCTGCCATAGATGCATTTCTTCCCCTTGTTATATTTTCACACCCTAGACAAGTCCCGAGGCAATTGAATATGGGGAATGTCGTGGCAACATGCAATTCATATTCTTAGCTGGCAGAGATCTCTCAGAAAGCAGTCATGTCTCATCTCCCACCAGGTATCATGCTCATCCAGAAACCTGGTTATTAATTCTGAATCAACCTGTGAGGTGTTTGTTCTTTTTTCCCCCCCTCAGCCTTCCCCCAATAGTTCTGATATTAAGTAAAACTAAAAGCATTTATTTGGGGGGGGGGAGTGTTAAATAAATTCTCTTGGGTCAAACTTTCATGGGGAAAGCCAAATTTACATCCCCCTGATTTAAGTATGTAAGAGTCAGGCTGACCCAAGATACCGTACTTTGTTGATTAAGAGGAAGGACAAGGTCATCCCCACCAACTCCATGCACAGAAACAGTTGATGGGCAGTTGAATCTTGCTTCAGCGCTTGCTGCCTGAGGGTGGAGCAGCACCAACGCAGAGTGCAAACAAGGACCCCAGCACACTTCGTGTTCATTTGGCTTTTCTTCACTTTCGGTGTGAAGTGCCTTGTGGGAGAATTTGTTCAGGAGCAAAATCTACTTTAAAAAATAAATAAATAAAAATCCTGGCTGGCCTTCAGTGTTGGCCATAGAAATTATTTCACATAAATAAATCATAGAAGTTACCTTAAAGGTAATCTAATCTAGCGTTTTGAGCAATGGCAATCCAGCTCCCATGGCCCCATCTGATCTGTGCATTTAAAACAACACCATACCAATTCCCAATACTTGGAACTGCAGTTTCTTAACATTGCTGAGAGTTGTTAAAGGTAAAGGGACCCCTGACTATTAGGTCCAGTCGTGGCCGACTCTGGGGTTGCGGCGCTCATCTCACTTTATTGGCCGAGGGAGCCGGCGTACAGCTTCTGGGTCATGTGACCAGCATGACTAAGCCGCATCTGGCGAACCAGAACAGCACACGGAAACACTGTTTACCTTCCCGCCAGAGCGGTACCTATTTATCTACTTGCACTTTGAGTGTTTTCGAACTGCTAGGTTGGCAGGAGCAGGGACCGAGCAACGGGAGCTCACCCCATCGCAGGGATTCGAACCTCTGACCTTCTGATGTTAGGAAGCCTCTATTCCCCTCACAGAGCTACAGTTCTCAGAGTGGTTTAGTAGCCAATTCCTCTTCCCTGGGAACTCTGGGAACTGTAGCTTTGTGATTAGGTGTCTCCGAACAACTCTCATCACCCTTAACAAGCTACAGTTCTCAGAAGTCTTTGGAGGAAGCTATGGGTGAGATTCATCTAATGAGCCCCATGATCAGAAGCCCTGCTTGTCCCCTCTTCCCTATATGTGCCCCCCGAAATTGGCTAAAGGGTGTTGGGAGAATCTCCCAGAATAGCACACAGGGGAAAGAGAGGGCAGATCATTCACCCTGGGAGGAGGAGGAGGAGTTTGGATTTGATATCCCGCCTTTCACTCCCCTTCAGGAGTCTCAAAGCAGCTAACATTCTCCTTTCCCTTCCTCCCCCACAACAAGCACTCTGTGAGGTGAGTGGGGCTGAGAGACTTCAAAGAAGTGTGACTGGCCCAAGGTCACCCAGCAGGTGAATGTGGAGGAGCGGAGACGCGAACCCGGTTCCCCAGATTACGAGACTACTGCTCTTAACCACTACACCACCCTGGCAAGCTGCAATGCTTGCACAGTTGGAACATTCATCATAGCTCAAAGTTGATTTCCACCCCATGATTGTTCATGCAGATGGGGCCAGTGTAAGACTACAATATCCCAGGTAAGCAGCCATCCAGCCACAGAAGGAAAATAAAAAGATCGGAGGTAGGGAAGTAATCCCTCCTCTAGAATTTTCTGCCAAAAGGAAGTGCTTTGCATTCCGTGTTACGGTAAACCTGCCAGTGTTGACAAACACTTTCTTCTCTAAGAGGGTGGGTGGCCCTTTCGCAAGCTTCTTATGACTACCTGTCCCAGCCCATTCATGTTTTGCTGCCCTCTCAAAACCACTTTCCTGGAACAGAAAATGCCCAACCTTTGCCTCACCCTGAATAGAAATCAGACTGTGTTCTCCTCATGCTGTAATCTGTCACTAATTGTTAGGTCGTTCCAAAGAGGAGGATGGTGACTTGGTACACAATAGGCCTGTCAAAAGTGGGGCCAATGTTCCCAGACTGGAATGTTCAACTGAAACTAAAATTTGCAAACATCTCCTTACAGAACTCACTTGACTCTCCTCAGTTTGGAACCGCTGAGCTTTGAATGCTCAGTTAAGTCAATACCTTCTGAAGTGGCAAAGGCCTCCCCTCCCATGTTTGAAATCAGATTCCAGGAGCCTAGTTGCTCAGTAGTCCTCAAACATCTGTGGAATTCTCCATGGGAGGAGGTTCAAAGCTCCAAACAGGGCTACGTGAGGACTGGTGTTCTCCCTTGGTTAATGCTGGACTACAGCAGCTGATGAAAGACAGTCCAAAGGTCTCTCCTGCCATTTTACATCTTGCCTTCCTTTAGAAAGTAGAAGAACATCATTCTGCCCTTTGACTGACACATGCATTGCAATAAAGGAAGCTCTTCTCCTTGGCATCTGGCCACCTTATGCAGAATTAAAATTGGAATTAAATCAAAGGGCACTGGAGGCATTCGTCACTCACCACCATCCTATAGAAATCCTACCCTCTTGTTTTGTCTCCCAACAGATCTAACAGATCATCCAGATAATGTCCAGATAATGTTCAACAGGAAAGGAAAAGGTGCACTGTGTCAGAGGTGCTTGTAGGACAACAGTTGGGTTTTGAGTAAATGCACCTAAAGGATTGCCAGCTTCTAGCAGAGCCCATATACGTTTAACAGCTATGTGACTGGCAGACGGTACCAAGTTAGTGTCAGCACCTGGTATCCTTGGGCAGCTGTTTCCTTGCAGGACTCGCTACTGATGCCAGTCCTGGATAACATGCCCCTGCCCCCACCCACCATTTACTTTTCCCACAATGTCCCAAGGTAGCAGCAGACAAACATGAGGAAAACAGAAAACAGGGAGGGAATGAGGTCTCATAGTTTACAATAGCAAAAGACTTCTTGGGCAGGGGGAAATATAGAACAGAAATGAGGGGTGCTTTTATGAAAGTTTATTGTGAATCAGGTCCATTTTTTGGCCATTTCCCACATATCTTTGGGAAAGAGTGGCAAACTATCTGCGAGGGGTGGCTGCCTAGAAAGATGAGGAACATGTCGCCATTGGCAAAGCAAATCCAGAATTCCTTTCTCTCACCCAGACATGTGCAACAGACCAGAATGCTGATGGAGAATGCATTTAGATGTACATCTGCATAGGCATCTGCATGGACATGGCCACCCTCATTTCCCCCAACTAGTTACTGGTATGTGCAACTAGGTCTGATTAGAAAGTGAAAATTTGCTGTGTGCTTTCCTGGTGATGCTATGAATGAAACTGACATCATGGTAGAGCAGGACAGGGGATGTTCCCTAGCAATCTGTGCAACAGGAAAACTTCTCCTGTCTCCTTCTGAGTGAGGACAATGAGAGGGATCCATTTGCTCTCAGTGACACTGTCCTGTAGCTAAATCTGATTGGCTATGTGGCACCATGGTTTCATCATGTCACAGTGTGATCCCTAACTGGAATGGATCATACAATAAAAAAAGTCACAGAAATGCCATAATGAAAAAGCAGCAGCACATTGGAGCAGGCATGGGGTGTGGCAAGGGAGGGAGAGAGTAATGAAATGCCATTTGTGATAGACTGCCTCATTTATTTATTTTTTTAAGAGAACCTTTTGTAAATTTAGCACAACTCTAGCAAAAATACAGCTGAAAAACTTCCTGAGTTGCAAACCAGAGAACGACAGCTCTGCCATGTGCCCTGCAGTGTGGGCTCTGCAGCTACCTGCCTTCTACTTGATTAGTGCACACAGGTAAATAGTCCTTTTAAGGGTTGGCACTTTCAGCCCTGTCAGCCCATCTACTCAATGAAACAGCATTTACAAGGCAAAGAATGCAAAGACCTCCTTCATGATGAAGGTAGGTAAAAAAGTGCAATAAACAAAGCTAGGTGATGTGCTGCTTTAGCACCTGCAGGCCGGCCAAAATCTGTGCCAAATTCCTCCCAGCCAAAGAGGACTTTAGAAGCCCTGCCAAGGCCAGTATGGGCGACATAGTCTGACTATTAGATTCTGGAAGTACTAATGAGCCACAACCTGTGCAATCTTGCAGTTCTTTGTAGCAGGAAAACGCCCTGCCTTTCCAGTTTGGAGCTCAACCACAGAGCCAGCCAGCTGCATGGGAAACTGCTGCTTGGACACATCCTGCACAAAGACTGCAGCCTGGCTGTGTTCAGTGCAAGCTGTCTTACTCCACAGCTTCATTCTAGCTGTTTCGTTGGACAGGACATGGTGTCTGCAAAAAGTTTTCATACCTAATTGCTGCTGATGTTTCTGGCTTAAATCTTTTATAGTGTGTGACATCCTTCTTGATTTGCGTATGCATTTATTTGTTGATTAATTCTGTATCCCACCTTCCCTCCCAAAGGAGCCCACATATGCATCAGAGCTGGAAAGAAGAGAGCTTCCATGGTCAGGTGGAACATATCTGCAGATTTTTTTTCCCTCAGAAGTATTTGCAGGGATCCTTACATTCCACTCAGCAGTGCAAAATAGAAGTGAACAGAAGTCTTCCTATGTTGATGTTGGGAATACTCTTCCTGCAGGTTTTGGGGATTTTTAAAATTTCCTCCCATCTTAATTTTGCACTTAACATGAAGGGTGCTGCTATTCAAAGGTGTCAGGGAGGTCAGGCATGGGTGAAGAGGACAAGCATTGGTGGTGTATTGTTCACCTGTGTCGCAAAGCAGCCTCACCCCTGGAGATTCAGCTTGCTTGACAAATGCACAGAGCAAGTGACCAAACAAAAATGGCAGTGGAAATAATCTGGCACTCCCACAGCTGTGCTGCAACAGCTCTGACCTCGCCATCACCCTGCTCCACCCCAGCCCAGCTATAGTGAGCCCAGTGTGGGAGGGTAGCTTTGCAGCTCTGCCCGCCATGACACTGGCCGCAACTGCTGCTTATGTTCAGCAGGTGGCTGCATCATGTGCCCTCCTCAGACCATGCCCAGGGACATAAGGCTGTCTGAATGCTCCAGCATTACTTCATTAGTTCATGCTGGACAACCACAGTTCCTTTTGGTTTACTTAACAGAGACATCTTAGCTCATGCCTGCCCAGAAGTCATGGTCTGTTGTGCCCTAGCAGCTTCCCCAAACTCCAGTGGAGTGGAGGCTGGCTGTGGAAATTCAGTGGTAAACTAAAGGAAGGGAAGAAAACTCTGCAAATTCTATTTTTCCACAGTCAAGGAGAAGAATGGATGAAAGAGATGGAAAGAGATGAGATGAGGGGAATATGGGTGAAGAGACAGCTATGCACATTCAGATTTTTTAAAAAAAAATCAAAAGCCTATGATGAAGGAGGAAATAAAGCAGGCCAGTGAATGTAGCAATGGAAGATTTTGTCCAAATAAACACAACTAGCATTAAGCAATGCTGGTGTTGGTTTCATGGTGTCATAATTGTTATAATAGAAAGCAAAAAACTTCGGGCATAAATTCAAGTATATACTGTAGAAGCAGAATAAATGTCAAAACAAAAGAGGTCAAATATGAGCTGGGAAAGGTGAAGAAGAATCAGCATCTGCCAGAAAAGAAATCTGTTACCTCTTTGGCAGTTCACAGGTTCCAAAGCGACCAAGAGACAAAAGGTCACAGCCAGAGCAGCATTCATTTCGGTGGTGTGGGAAGAGACTTTGCTGATCAGCGCCTTGATTTGTTTGCAGAGGCTCCGTGGACTTGTTCCTTCTCTGAGGAATGCAGGAAGGCAAAATGTGAAATCCGAAGACCCAAGGTGTATTTGGGCACGCCTCCCTCCCGGGTAATAAGCCTGGTAGATGATCAAGCCCATTAATTGGAGGGTTGCCATGCACCAGCATCTATGCAAATGGAGCAATTCCAGAGCATTTAGCAACTTAAGGAGGGACAGGATTGTTTTTACTTGCTGCCTCTTTGCTCCATCACGCATCAGGTTGTTATGCAGCTCACAGAATTTCATCTTGACTTTCCAGCACCTCGTTAATGGCTTGGAAAGAGTACAGAAAAGAGAAAAGGGGCTCTTTCTTTGGCCCATACCCCACTGTCCCCTTCTGGTGCTGCCCATGGATAAAGTACATATCCAAGTACAGATCAGACACAACTCTGCTAAGCTTCAGTAAGGTAGTCTCCTTGTGTACCTTCAGACCATAGCCTAAGACACATTTTCAAAAGATGTTAAAGCAACCATCTCATAGTCCAGTCTCCGCTGCTATTCTGTACCCTATCATTGAATGAGGCTGTGTACACCATCCCATTTACTCTGCATCCAGTGTGCTCCCACCACTGGTATGGGAAGCAGCAAACATGTGACGTTAGCCACAATCCATATCCTATCATCTTTCTTAGGAAATAGTATATTTTGATGCATTTTCTTGGATTCAAATGGAGAAAAATAATATACAGGAGCTGCATTTTAAGTGTACATGGCTTCAGTGATTATCAGGAGCAAAATTCCTCCACTAGTACAATGGTCTTGCCACTTGGCATTCTGGTAGCTATGCAGCCCCTACAGAATGAAGAAGGTAAACATCACTTTGCACATGCCTTTCTGCAAAAAGCAGGTCAGGGTTTCCTTTGGCAGGGTCTGAATCTGGCCCCATTTACCAGAGATAGCATGCTTGGTTTAGCTAGTTGCACACCACTTGCACTGGATACAGTGGACTTGTTCCTGAGCAAGCATGTTTATGCTCAAACTGAATCTCTCCTCCATTCCACCAGTCCAAACTAGTGTGTCACCATTTTCCCACCACATAAACTGCAGGTTTCCCCACACACATCTGGTTGACCACTGTGAGAAGATGATGCTGGACACTAGATGCATCATTGGCCTGATCCAGCACATTCTCAAGTTGTTGTCTCCCCCCCCCCCTACTTTTTAAAAAGAAAATAAGAAATAAACTGCAGTCTGGATAAAAAATGGGGGGAGCCCTCTGCCACTTTCATCAACCCTACCAACAATATTACCCTACTCTTGCTTAGGAAACTGTTTCATGTATTTCACTTTGTGCTGATAAATTATCCTTTGCTGCTCAATGAGGAAACCAGCTATTGTGTGTACTGAGATGAGAAAGACAGAGAGATTTGGTAACCATCTCCAAATATTTGAAAAGCTGCCGGAAGAAGACAAGTGAGCATTGTTCTCTGCTTCCAGACTGGGAGAGCAGATGATGGACTTACAAGGCTTAAGTTAAAGGAAGATATTCAGGTTAGGCATTAGGGAAAGGTTACTATGAGAGCAGCAGGGCGACAAAACCAAGTGACTTAAGTAGCTGTCCAATCTCCCACCCTGCAAAGCTTGAATCAGAGGCACCTGTGTTTCAGGCCATACATGATGATCCCTCCAGTGCACCCAAATCAGTCAACTCTTTGGTCAACACAGTGACTTTAAGAGCCTGTCTGGTGTAGTGGTTAGAGTGCTGAACTAGGCCCTGGGAGACCAGGGTTCAAATCCCCACTTGGGCATGTAGGTCACCTTGGGCCAGTCACTTCCTCTCAGTCTAATCTACCTCACAGGCTTGTTGTGGGGGTTAAAAAAGAGTGGGGAGAACCATGGATACCACCTTGAGCTCCTTGGATAAAGAAGTGTGAAATAAATGCAATAAACAAATAAGCAGGCGACAAGGTAACCTGTTTGGCCTCGGAGCAGAGAGAATTTTGAAGTTATGCTCAGCTGTGGAGCCCCTGAGTGACAGGTGTGGGAGGGGGTATAGGAAGCTGCCTTAGACCATTGAAGGTCAGCTCTGAATTCCGTAGTTGATCATTCTGGTTCTCAGCAATAGCATCTTTTTGTCGGTGCTGGTTTATTATTAATCAGCTTGGCAGATTATCTCAAAGCAGAACATGCTGTGATAATAACTGCCTTGTGCAGAGGAGTCTGGCACTGCATCAGAGGGACTGGGAGGGAGACCCAAAGACTAGCTGCAGAAGTCCCTACATTTGAGATGCTCTAACAGGCCGTGCATGATAAAGTATTGATGTCTAGATGTTCTCTTGTCAGTACTCGTCAACATCATTGAGCTGCTTTCCCAAGTGATTTTAACGACTTGCTCAGATTCATCTACCTGATTGATCAGCCCCTCTGAGGACTGGAATTTCTGCTTGCCAGACAAAATAATCCCCCCATCTTCTCCCCTCTTCATGTACACCCTCTTCTGGGGGTTCTCCTAACACAACTTCCCGAGACCATGTGGGGACACTTGGGGGGAGGAGAGGGGCAAGTGCCACTGTGCTGGTGGAAGGCATAGCACAAGGTGCCACTAGCAGGACTCATTCATGTTTCCACTCAGGAAAGAGTTGAGTGGGGGGTATTTGTGGCTTTAATGCATAAATAAAATTACATACCTCTTACTCTTGTTCTCACTCTCTATCTAGCTACCTTTATATGTTTAGGATTTTTTTAAAAAGAAACTCAAAAGACACCTTGTACTACTTTATTGCTTCTTATGATCAAACAGAAGCTAAATTTGAAAGAGAGTTTTTGGTAAACGCCTAGAAACGTCTACCTAGAAATAATGAGGTGGGGGAGGGGTTGTTTTGTTTTTTAATTTGTAAGAAGTAAGTGTTGTTTTCAATTAAGCAAATTGCATTATAAAACAATGTGGATTGTCACAGATAAACACAAGGAAAGCTGGTCATATATTGTATGCCTCAGCTATGACATTGCAAAGATCTATGTTAGATACATTCACAAAGCAGTGCCATTTTCCTGTTCCTTAATGCCCGTGACCACTATTTATTTTCTTGAGATAACAGCCAAAGCCCTGGAATGGGGAAGGGTCATTTCTGGGAACGGAATTTCTGTGCTGATTCAAAGGCCACATCAATTCACAGGAGACAGCAGTGGACTTACCTGTGACTCACTTCTACACAACTGTGTACAGGATTGCCACCTCACTGTTTTCCTTGCTTTATGCTGCTATCATACACATACTTGCATGGAAGTTACTCCCATTGAATTAAATGGGGCACTTCTGAGTAGAAATGCATAGAGTTGTGCTGTTAGGTAGCAACCTACTTCACAATGAAGTTAAGCAGCTTAATTTGAACTACCTGGAGTAAGTGGGATGGGAATTTGGCTTATTTGATCTGGTCAAGCATGAATGGCTTATTTGCTATCTCTAAGACTCTGCTCTTTATCTTTGAGGAGCTATTTCAAAAAAAGTTGTTATTATGTGCTTTGAGTATCATGGATTTACCAGTATAGCTCTTATGTATCAGGTGTTAGGGTTCCTTTTACCAGTCTTGCCTTATAAATGATCTGTAATTGCTTCTCCAATTGGTACAGATGATAGTTTATTGATGGACAAACCATGTAGGTCACAATGGCTGTGCCACTTCATTCTTTATTGGATAATTCTAAACCAGGAATGTCCAAAGTCCATTTTGGGGGGCCTAATCTGGCCCACCGATACTACCCCGTGGCAGTATAAGTCCTGGGGTAAAATCCTAAAAAAAGCTCAATAACTTCAATCCTAACAACTTTGGTTGGCCCTCACGCATGTTCACTTCATCAAATCTGGCCCTCTTTGAAAAAAGTTTGGGCACCCCTCTTAAACTAACCTAAAGGCAAGAGCTTTAAGCTGGCTAAAGAGATGTCACGTCATTCTCTAACTGATTGATCTGTTAATAAGGTGAAGGTAAAGGACTCCTGGACGGTTAAGTCCAGTCGAATTTGACTATGGCGTGTGGCACTTATCTCTGCTTTTAGGCCAAGGGAGCCAGCATTTGTCCTCAGACAGCTTTTCCAGGTCATGTGGCCAGCATGACTAAACTGCTTCTGGCGCACGAAACACTGTGACGAGTGTCAGGGCCCACGGAAACACCTTTTACCTTCCCGCCACAGCAGTACCTGTTTATCTACTTGCACTGGTGTTCTTTCAAACTGCTAGGTTGGCAGAAGATGGGACAGAGCAATGGGCACTCACCCCGTCATGGGGATTTGAACCACCAACCTTCCAATCAGCAAGCTCAAGAGGCTCAGTGGTTTAGACTGCAGCTCCACCTGCGTCTAACTGATTGATCTGTTAATAATCTTGTGCATCTCAAAATCAGACCCGGTTGGTCACAAATGTGAAATGTCAGGAGTCCACTGTGCATTCCTACAGCCAAGCATTGATATGAAACAGTCCACCTATGAGCTGAATCTTCATGTGAATTGGCTCTTGACTCTTAACAGCAACAATCTTTAGTTTTCATCTGCTTAAACACAACTGTCTTGGTTTCACTGGTTTGTGGCTCTAATGGCTGAGATTGCATACACATTGTTGCTTGCTAATAACTGTGATGTTAAAGCAAATTTTAAAATGTTTTCCATTGAGCCCAGAGCTGAGTCATCTGAACTGTACCAACAATTTTTTCTGGTTTCATGGTCCAGCGGGTGGTGGAGAAACAGTACTTAAAGGAAATTTTATTTAAGCTACAATGACTGACACAAACTAGTCCAGTAAAACATGTGATTATTTTATTTAATCTTTCAAGTTGTGAAGAGGAAGTAAGCGGTGAGCAGCTATAATGCCAGGAAGTGCTATCTCCTAAGATTAAATCTCACCCCTTCATCTGATTTATGATTTCACAGTTCTTTCCATAGTAATAAGTATTTTTGAAAAATGAAGCAGGTCCTCATAAATTACAATTCAGAGTTTTAGAGCAGGGGTTCCCAAACTTTTCTCCCCACCCTAAACCACTTGAAACTTGTTGCGGGTCTTAGTGGACCACTTCATAGGGGTTTGGTTTGGTTTAGTTTGCCTATTGCAGTGTGTTGTGCTAGATACTGCAAGACTTGTAATTGTATTTCTATTGCTTCTTTTATTTTTATATTTTTATTTTGTTTTATTGTATTACAGTTTGATTTCCATGGAACTGTATAGAATTCAAATTGTAAGTGTTCTTCACTGACATGT